GAGAGACAGTGAGTGGTCCAACTATTACAGACCAAATTATGGGTTCGCTGGTGCACAAGGTTACCGTTACAATGGCCCCCTGACAGCCTTTGTGTTGGTCATTGTTGGACTCTCATGGATACTGACCGTTATCCTGCTGGCTTTGGGACTAACAATGTATTACAGAACGATCCTGCTGGATTCCAAATGGTGGCCTCTTACAGAGGCTGTTACGAATCTAGTCCTTTCGCTGCTTTACATGGCAGTGGGTATCGTCTATGTGAATGATCTGAATCGTGGTGGGCTTTGCTTCATGACAGTCGGCATCAACCCAATCCTGTCTAATCTGTGTCATGTTGAGGGGGGTCAGATGGCTGGGACTGCGTTTATATTCATTAACATGGTCATGTACTTGATAAGCTTCCTGGTGTGCCTTAAAATGTGGAAGCATGAAACTGCCCGCCGTCACAGGGAGGCCATGACAAGCCAGCTGAACAGCCAGGTAAATGCACATTTTACATGACCTCCCAAAATTTGGGGTTAGAAAGGTTTTTTTTCTAAGAAATTAATACTTTTATTTAGCAAGGGCGCCTTAAATTGATCAAAATTGACAGTAAAGACATTTCTAATATTACAAACGATTTCTGTTCCAAATCAGTGCTGCTCTTTTGAACTTTCTATTCATCGAAGAGTCCTGACAAAAGGGGTTCCACAAAAATATTAAGCAGCACAATTATTTTCAACATTGATAATAAGAACTATTTTTTGAGCACCAAATCAGCATATTAGGCTGATTTCTGAAGACAATGAAAATTCAGCTTTGCCAGCATAGGAATAAATTAAATGTTAATGATATTTCATAATATTATTGTTGTGTTATACACAGTATATACAGTAATGTATTATTACTGTTATAATAATACAGCCTAGCCGAGCATAAGAGACTGTCAAAAATAAAATATCTTACTGCCCCCAAACTTTTGAAAGGTAGTGTGTATATTTCATTAATTAGAATATGAATGTCTTTTGTTCTTAACTTCATAAAAAAATGTATAATAGTAATCACAGGGTTTTTGCTTCACTTTTAACTACAAACAACACTAATGAAATTCCCAGTTTCCACAAAATTCTCACTGTTGTTATCAAATTGTACTAATTGTAATGGCTGTTATCTTTCCGTTACAGCAGCAGACTCTGAAATCCACATCCAATATGGGCAGCTCCTCGACTACATCCAAGAAAATTTCATTCAAAGATGAAATGGATCAATGCACTGTGAATGAGATCATGCTGGCTTATGTCTCAGAGAGAGCTGAAGAACGAAAGATTTTAACTGGAGCTATTCCAGTGGGACACATTCCTAAACCCAGAGTCGTCGCTGATTATATTATGTTAGTATACTTCATGGTTTATTTCTGGTCTAACAACAATGAATGATATATTTAGGCCACACAAATGTAACAGGTGTTGGTTATATTCAGTTGGTATTAACCCATTTAAGCCCCTTGAAGGATCTATACAGGCTCTTTTTCCATCTGTTAATATTTTAGGTGACTATAGAGGGTGTAAAACCAACTGGTCTACATGTAGATAACCTTAGAAAGGGCTTTTGACAACTTGATGGATAATGTGTCATGTGGTGTTGTTTGATTCATGCTGCTATTTCTGGGTGTTTACTTTGAAATGCACCTAACTGTTGGGCAAAACCCCCTGTTATCTCAATCCTTGGTCATCTTTACATGAAAAATGCAGTTAAACATTGCAATAGAACCACACAGCAGGTCCATATAAAATAACAAATTGCAAAAAAATGGATGTTAATGAGGTAAATATAAGATGAACATGAGATGGGCTTGAGAAATAAAATTATGTTAAGAATAATATAAATAGATTAGGTGTCAATATTGAAGAAAAAGTATGAAATGGCACAAAATTAAAAGATTTAGTTTTTGTTTTTTTTACAGAAAATATCCTGAAATTCATTCTGTGGAGGACAGAGAGCAATACAAAGCAGTCTTTAATGACCAATACCTGGAGTACAAGGAACTGCACAGAGAGATCACAGCCACTTTAATAAAGTTTCAGGAATTAGACAGCATGATGAGCCAACTCATCAATAACAGTAGAAGCCCTGAGGTGAGACATGATATTGGAGTCATTTACAGTATTTTGCCTCTGTATTACTTTTCATTAGACTATTCAATAATATTTGGTTGTTTTATTTAGGATAGCAAGAGAATCATGGACTTAATGAAAACATATGATCAAAAAAAGAATGTAAGTCTTGACTTTATACTGCTACAAAACCTGAGATACAAGAGATTAATTTTTTGATGTTTTATGTTTTTTTTTAAACTTCTTATGTGCTTCCTCAAGGATCCACACTTTCTGGAGAAGAAGGAACGGTGTGAATATCTGAAAGCAAAACTAAGCCACATAAAGATGAGGATTCATGATTTTGATAGAAATTTCACTGTGAAGGACAGCAATTACTAAAAAAAAATATATATATGTATATATATATATATATATATTTTTTTTTTTTTTACTAATTACACATTGCTGTTAAAAAGACATGACGGCAATTTGGCCCTAATCTATAAACTTTACTTTCACAAATCATATATTTTTTATTTGCACTATTACACTACAACTGTTTTTATGTCACTTTAAAATTGTATATATATATATATATATACATACATACATATTTATTTATTTTTATTTTTTTAAAGAGAAACAGTGCTAAAACTTATTTTACAGATTACAAAATAGCTCTACTTTTACTGAAACAAAAACAAGTAAAATCAGACTTGGACTGTAGCTTTAATGCACTTTAGAACATTAACAATCGTTAACTCAGCTTCCTGTTCACATTAACTTTTGACCCACTAAAGAGCCAATAAGACTGTGTCAGTAGCAGCGGGTTGGATCGGGTTTAGTGTTTCAGGCCGAGGTCTTTCACAGGAGTCACCATGAGCAGCAGCTGTCACAGGTACTCACATCAAATGGATAAACTCAAACACTAAACAATACTTGACAGAAAACTGTCAAGCTTAGAAAAGCGGGACCAAGGCAAACAAGGAAAAGCCCAGTGATTGTTGTGTTATGGTAAGTTACATAATGTTTATGTAATATTTGTTTACAACAAAATAATAGACCTTTTTAAAATGGATTGTAGTCAATGCAAAAAGTGCAAAACAGACGTGCCGCAGTACCTTTTGAATCTTACAGTGTCAAATCTAATCAACATCTTTTCTTATGTTTCATGTGATTGTAGCTGTCAGAAACCAGATGAGATGTTGTGACAGCTATATGCTCATCTAATCTAAAATATAATATATGAATATTTTTAAGAGGACAGTTGTAAAATTATATTCATGAAAAATACACAAAAAATACTTCCTCCTTTTTAGGGAGAAAAAAAAATCTTGAATAGCTGTCCCATCAACATGCACCTGTGAGGCTGTATGAAGCTTGCTAGGTTGATTTTCAGCTCTTTAATTATTTATTCACTCTTTTTCAAGTTACCACAGGTGTGCAGCTCACCCTCTCTCTAAAGCATAATTAACTAAGAGGATACGGTATTAGAAATATTCCTGTTAGCAGTGTATCTCTTCAACTCTTTTATTCACATATAATGGCTGTATATTGCACTTGGGGGAGGCAACAGAAATGCGAGGAAGAAACAGTACAGCATGGAAACCACCAATGACTGCGTTTACTCATGTTTCTCTGAATTATTCAGAGCATCTCGACTGAATTGCAGTAGCCTGATGAAGGGAGTGGTGTTTAAGGCTGGACTCTACCAGAGTGAGAATGTTGTTTGTGCTATAAAGGGCTGTGTTGTGTATTAATTACACAGTTAGATCAGAACTCTGAGAGTTCCTGTAGATCTACGGGTAGAGCTGCGTGCTAACAATTGTACGTTTGTAATCCCAGGGAACAAATATAGTGATAATAAGATGCATAGTTTGAATGCACTTAAAGAAATTTGATTGGCCAAGAGTGCTGATATACAGTCTAACACCACTGTGACTTTTCACTGTTTCTATCATGCGAGTTTGTGCATTCGGAGGTTGCATTTCTGCAGGTTACACTGGTAACTGGACAAGTGGCTGTCTTTATGAGCAAGTCATCAAATCATTCATTCAAACAATTCTTTCAAACTCACTAGTTTATTCAGGAACAAAACACACAGTTGTTTTTATGAGTGAGTCATTGAATCAATCACTAAACTGATTTGTTCAGAAACACTGAGTGATTCAGGAAAGCTGTGTATTGCTCTGTAGAAGCATTGATTTATTATGCTTTGTCTTGTTGTGACATAGTGTCAGCCGCATAGAAAAAATGGACAAAATGTTATATAAAAACTATATCATAGGGGGAAGTCGTGGGCTAATGGTTAGAGAGTCGGACTCGTAACCCAAAGGTTGTGGGTTTGAGTCTCGTACCGGCAGGGATTGTAGGTGGGGGGAGTGAATGTACAGTAGGGTGACCATACGTGCCATTTTCCCAGGATTGCCTAAAATATCTAGGTTTTGGCTTTGTTTGCGTGTGCAGACCGATCGGTGTATGACATCAAAATACCACTAATTCCGAGTATGGGTCACCAAAACCCATACTGAAACCCATTATTGCACCCACTGTATTGATCATTCAGAAGCGGTGACTGGACACCAGAACTATTATTTCTATATATTTAAAAAAAACATTATTAGATGTATGATTGAGATTATCTGGGTGTTAGTTGAGGGCAGCACATGAGTGTCGAATGGCAATGTGTAGTATCAGTGTTATTTTAGTATTATTTATATATACTGTCATAGGTTTTATTATTGTTTTTAATTCGCTTTTTTATATATTCCATTTGAATTTTAATTTGTGTAAGATTTTTGTAATTTTGCTAAATTTTTTAAGTTTAAGGTTTTCATATTTATATATTTTGTTTTATTTGATTTCAGCTATATTTATGATTTTAATAGTTTATATATTTTTTGTTTACAATAACAATAAATGGTCTTCTTACAACTAATATAAGATAGCTACTTGTCCAGTTTTGTGATTAAAAATGAAAACAAAAGACAGCAGATATTTGTCTGAAAAAGAATTATGGTTGTGGTTTCAGAAAGCTATATCTGTTCCCAAATCATCTTATGGTCTAAATTTGATCTCATTTCTTTTTTCAGATTCCTTCATGAATCATGTATGAAACGCAGGAGTATGATAGTCCACCTCAGTACAGTCCACACTACATTGCCCCATCAAATATGTACACATCCAGAAGTTGCTACTCTCAAAGAAGCGAGTATGGCTTATACTCTTCAGTGCCTGATGCTCCTCAAACGGAGGGAAACCCTCAGCACTTCTACAGATGGTTCTCACCACCTGGCATCGTGAAAACTATGGAGGGACTGACTGCTCTGCTCTGTTTTGTTATTTTCGCCTGTGTTGCTTCCACTCTAGTTTGGGATATGCACGGCTACGAGGGCAGCATCGGGGCCTATGTTGCCGGATCTGGGGGCAATGGGATGGGGTCTGGGTACTATGGAGGAACTTACGGCTATCAGAGCTCTTATATGACACCCTACTCAGCAAAGGCAGCCATGATCTCTATGGCAGCTCTTAATTTCGTAGTATCCTTAGCCATCCTAGTGGTTAGTTTCTCAAAGACTTGGTGTGTGCGTGGAAAAACGTTTTACCTAACAGTTTTGGTGGTGGATGTGGTTCTGGCGATTCTTCAGTGTATTATAGACATCGTATTCGTCATTGGGGTGAATCCCATGGCCCAGAGTTCACAAAGCATCATGTACAACCCCATCCTGATGATGTGTCAGACCTCATTAGGGACTCCCAGCATCAGTGCCGGAGCCGGCACAGGCTTCCCAGGTGCATATCCGTCCTTTAATCGATATCTTCATCACTACTGCTTCATGGATCCCGAGGAGGTCAGTATGACAAGACATACACGCTTAAAAATAAAGGTGCTTTAATTGGCATCGGTGGTTCCATGAAGAAACATCTATAGAATGTTTCCATTGCACAAAAGGTTTTTTGATTATTAAAATGTTCTTCAGACTAAGAAAAACATGGCTCTTTTAAGAACTGTTCACCGAAAGGTTCTTTTGGGAACCTAAAATGTTTCTTATATGGCACTGGTGCGAAAGCTTCCTTTTCGGAAACTTTATTTTTAAGACTGTAATTCTCACTTCTTACCTCCTCTGTGCCTGTAGTGTCACTGTAACGTTTAAATCAGTGTTGTCTTCTTAATTTTAGGCTGTGGCTCTGGTATGTGGGCTGTTTGTCATGATTGCCCTGGTTGTTGCATCCTATTTTGCCTATAAGACTCGAAGCAAAATATGGCGTCATGGCAAACCTAATATCTACTGGGAGGAACCGCCTATCCTCAGAACAAACAGGAGCCAGAATTCACAAAACTGGGTGAGTTCATAAGTGGCAGTTTGTTAGTTTTTTTGCAGATTTATTGAGGTCATTGCTATTGACATTCAATTTTCCTGCCATATTTATTTTTCCAGTATTTAAAGCTGATAATATGTGTAAAATATCACAAACTCCTTGATTAGTATTGTTAGGATTAGAGAAGCAAGATTTTGGTCAAGTCTGGTCCAGAGGTTTTGCGTCCTGTTTAGGATTATAGATTATATTGTATCTTGTTTAGACATTTTAGGATAGCAAACTGCAACCCGAGACACCCGATCCTAATCGAACCCAAAAATGCACTAGGAGAATAATGCAAGGCCTCGGATATACAATGCATTATGAAAGTTTTGTTTGCGAAACATTTTATGTAGGACTATAGACCATTTCAATGTAGTCACTGACCCATGAACTTTCCCTGCTTGTCGTCAAAACGGTAACAGGAGGCGACTCAGTCGTAACTAACATTAACACGGCTGTCATAATGTTTTTTATCAAAATTTTGACCTTTTTGGATTCTCAGAAGTTATGGAAATGAAAAATTTAAAATTGGAAATGTCTTATATCATTAGGACTATTCCTGTGATGGCAAAGCTGAATTTTCAGCAGTCATTACTTCAATCTTTAGTGTCACATGATCCTTCAGAAATCATTTGAATATGCTGATTTGCCGCTCAAGAAACGTTTCTTATTTTTTATTTGTTTGGTGCAATTTTCACATGAAAGGTGTCCATTTTGATCTCACGTGTAACACTGCTAGTCCATCTTTCAAACCTAGATCTCATGCTTTCATTGCATCCTTTCATTACAGTAATACACTTTAAACATGCTGGTTATTATCCAATTTAAATATCTTATACTGTATCAATAATTCATTGTTCTACATAATTTATACTGTGAATGAAATGTTTACACAGATGAAACATTTATTTTGTTGTGAAAATTTTGTTTTGTACTACTAGCACAATTGAAAACGAGATGAAATTTTTGAAAAACAAAAAGTGCATTTTTGATGATCTGTTGTGAGATTAGACCTAAAAGTTTTCGGAAATGTACAAATTGCTTATGAAATTTGCAGCAAAATGAAAAAAAAAACAACTGTTCTGATTAATATTTTGTGTAAACTATAGTACATTTTTACATCACAAACATGAGTATAAAGTTTAACACTTACATTTTTTTTATTATTTCTCATGTAAATTATTAATTCATTTATTTATTTTGACTGTGGTGATATGTTTTGTGGAGGCTTTGTGAATGAAACTGAGGGCTGCATTATTTAAATATAGTGCAAAACCAGTGGCATACAATGAAATCAATCATATGATCTGAATTGTTTTTGTGTTAATCATTCACTAATTTACAATGTTTCTTAAAGGGGTCATATGATGCGATTAAAATTTTTCCTTTCTCTTTGGAGTGTTACAAGCTCTTAGTGCATAAAGAAGATCTGTAAAGTTGCAAAGACGCCTACGCCTACCTAAAACGGCTCGTTCTAACACGCCCCCACATGTCTACATCACGATGTGGGAAGATTTGCATAACGCCGCCAAATGTTCACGCAAAGAAAGAAGGTGTAACTTTTATTTTCGCTGTAGTATTGTTGTTGCCGCCGCCATGTCGTGAAGGCGCTGTGTGTTTCGTTGTGAAAGCGAAACTACTTTGTTTGGCCTTCCAAAAGAGGACGATATCTGCTTCGTCATGCCTGGAGCTGATCCGTGCTGGTTGCTGAGGAAGTACTACAACTTTGCGCTGTGGATCACCGGATCGGCTTTCACCGTGGACGAAGCAGAGTCCAGCCCGGGGTAGTCACATGTGGGTGCAGCAAGCCCTCCGGACGCTCCTTCGTCGAATCCGCCGCCTCTGCTCACTCTAGCCCTCCGGCTGTTCCTCACTCTAGCCCCCGGCCTCTGCTCACTCTAGGCCGCCGTGTGTGACGCTGTGTTTCATTGTGAAAGCAAAACTACTTTGTTTGGCTTTCCAAAAATGGACACGACTAGAAATCAGTGGTTAAGTTGTATTTACAACACTGTTCCAGAACACTTCAACCCAAATATTCAGATGTGTGCAGCGCATTTTATGGAGGACCGTTTCCTGATCCTGGTAGAGTAGACTACAATGCCGGCTGTTCTGACACATAGACTGTAAGTAAGTTTTTTATATTTAAAGCGAGTTTTTTGGGCAGTGTAGAGTAGGGCTTGTTGTTTGTCACTTCTTCGATCACAAATGCAGACATGGTTTTATGGCAATGCAACGCAACGCGTAAAAAGACAGTATAAGTCATTATAATCCATAATTATGTCCCCACTGGATGCAACGAATGCCTGACAGGGCATCATCACAGTATGGTAGGGGCGTAACATTTCCGTCACACACTTGAGGTATTCGGCCAATCACAACGCACTGGATAGCTGGCCCAGGTAAAAAAAAAAAAAAAACATACCAGTTTAGCATTATCTGGTAAGTATGAAAAAAGCAAAAGCAAAAGCAAGAAAAGCAGAATAAAACCAGTAGAAGACAGTCTTGTGCATGTAGATGAACAACTTGCATGAAGAAAGTTCACTGGTTTTTCAACTGAAAAAAAGCATAACTACTTAATTTGTCATCTCAAATGCAGCAGCATGCAGTAAAGAAAAATAAATCATTCTCAAAGAGATAAGTCTGTACCTTAACTCAAAGTACAAATACAGTCTGCAATTGACTTGTCAAATGTGACCCTGGACCCAAGTGTCAACCCAAGTGAAAATCGCCTTTAAAGTTGTCCAAATGAAGTTCTTGGCAATGCATATTACAAATCAAAAATTAAGTTTTGATATATTTACGTATGCCTGCACTTCAAGAATTTAGAAATTAATGGCTTACATTATAACAGTATCATTTCCAGCAATTACTTATTACAATGACTTATTATAATTTTTCTTTGTAAAATAAACACATAAATGAATAAGTTTGAATGATTTAAAAAAATGTATGTTTTAAAATATAAGTTATAAATTAAACATTAGATATTTAATGATGATGATGATGATGATTATTATATTATTAATTACATATAAATGACGGAATAAACCTAAATTCTGATCAATCTAAATTCAAAAGATTGTATTTATTTATTTTTTGCTACTTGACAAACAAACATATTGAAAAAAAATCCCTGCATAGATTCAAGTCCCTGGGAACATACAAACTGAAAACGTTTGAATGCACAGAGTCATTTTGGATACAAGTGCCAAATGAATAAGCGTAAACTCAAACTAAAAACATGATGCTACAGGACAGAATATCTGAATACTGGAGGTATTATCCTATAATTTGCCTTATTCCTAACAATCTGTTAAGTATAAAGGTTCTTCATAATGCATTTAGGAAACGTTGAGAAAAATAGATTTTGTCTTATCCAGTAGAGAGCGCTAGTATTATGCTTGAATTTGACTGCCAGCACAATACTCGTTATTCTCTACTATTTTGGATAGAGTACAAATATATTACATCATCTTTGATCTGATTATGTTCGGTTAAATGCAGTTTAATCTGAGTAATGTGTCTGGCGCACCTGGTGAGAAGAGTGCTATGGCCTTCAGACAGCTGTACTCTGCTGAATCCACTTGCAGGCGGGTTAGCTTCTCCACTTGGTCCTGAAAGACACGCACCTGGTCCATGAACGACACCACCCTCTCAGCAGACATGGGAGAGGAGTGAAAGCCTGCAGCGGCGAGCAGCGGGGCCATGTGCAGGGGAAGGGCAGATTGGGCTACGTTAAGAATAAACAGTTCGCTCCAGCTGAGCCGCAGCAAGGCCACCTGCTCAGATACAGGCAGCTCAGGGAAGTAAGGAATGTTTCGGGCCCATTCGATGATGCTAAACAGGAGTCTGGCGGCTAGCTCGCAGATGCTGTCGATGCCCATGGATCCTCCACCCCCCTGCATCTGCTGGTTGTACTGATGGCTGTAGCGGCTGTTAGGGTAAGGCTCTGCCCGCAGGAGCTGGGAGATGAGCTCAGACACCGGCTGCCCGTTGTAGAACTCGCTCACGCCACTGCCGGCATTACCGCCCACTGGAGTCGTGGATGGGCTGAGGCTTGAATGCGAAGGTGGGATGCGTCCACGCTGAACTGCTAAAGGGGGAAAGGGAAGAGAAGGGGAGAGTCGTGATGGAGTTGAAACGCTTGATAGACTTAGTTTCAACGCTCCTTTCTTTTGCTATCATGCAACATCTGGCAGAGAGTCAGAGGACTGGCCTAAGGGATTAGAAACATCTAACTCCTGATTACACAAGCACTCAACAAATGAAAAAAGGAACCTGCAAACACCGTTCTAGTCAAACCTTCAGACACTTTATAAACGAGGAATGAAAATGTTCAATAAAAAGCTAAACATTCTAACCATCACTCTGTTTTAAAAGCAAAACTGTTGAGGAAACAAGTGCGAATGTCAGAAATAGTGGAAAGTCGGCTTCGCTGTGTGAGTTTGAGGTAAGCTTACAGCCAGTGCTGCACCATCATTTGTTATTAAGCTTTGTTAACATGTAGTTGAAAATTATACTGATTTAAACTTGTCACCAATATAAAATTATCTAGCAGGCTAGCAGGTTTTGTAAAAATTGCAAGAATGCTTTACAAATTAAGTACAAACTAATTAGTAATGCTTAGCCACGTATGCCTGCACTTCAAGAATTTAGAAATTAATGGCTTACATTATAACAGTATCATTTCCAGCAATTACTTATTATAATGACTTATTATAATTTTTCTTTGTAAAATAAACACATAAATGAATAAGTTTGAATGATTTAAAAAAAATTTATGTTTTAAAATATAAGTTATAAATTAAACATTAGATATTTAATGATGATGATGATTATTATATTATATTATTAATTACATATAAATGACGGAATAAACCTAAATTCTGATCAATCTAAATTCAAAAGATTGTATTTATTTATTTTTTGCTACTTGACAAACAAACATATTGAAAAAAAAAAGCCCTGCATAGATTCAAGTCCCTGGGAACATACAAACTGAAAATGTTTGAATGCACAGAGTCATTTTGGATACAAGTGCCAAATGAATAAGCGTAAACTCAAACTAAAAACATGATGCTACAGGACAGAATATCTGAATACTGGAGGTATTATCCTATAATTTGCCTTATTCCTAACAATCTGTTAAGTATAAAGGTTCTTCATAATGCATTTAGGAAACGTTGAGAAAAATAGATTTTGTCTTATCCAGTAGAGAGCGCTAGTATTATGTGTTGTCTGTGTGTAATTTTGTGGTACCCAGTCACATTCAATTCAGACTGCAAACTCACAATTTGTGTAAAATATAAATTTCCCATGACACTGAAGATTCAGTAGCATTAAAGCAGTTCAATTTTTTAAAGAAATTAATACTTTTATTCAACAGTAAATTTACTTATAATGTTACAAAATTTTCAGTTTCAAATAAATATTATTTTGAACTTTGTTCATCAAAACATCCTGAAAAAATGGATCATGGTTTCCACAAAATTAAGCAGCACAACAGTTTTCAACATTGCTACTAATAGTAAGAAACATTCCTTGAGCAGCAAATCAGCATATTAGAATGATTTCTGAAGGATCATGTGACACTGAAAGTAATGACTGCCGAAAATTCAGCTTTACCATCACAGGAATACATTACATTTTTTAATATATTCAAACAGAATATATACTGTTTTCGCTGTATTTTTGGTCAAATAAATTTAGCTATGATGAGCATAATTACCTCCTTTCAAAAACATTTTTAAAAATCTTACCGACCCCAAACTTTTGAACGGTAATGTACGCTAAATCTTCCATGAGAGACACAGCCCCTTTGCTTATTATATATTCTATAACATGTTGACAAATCAGTGGATAAAAACAGTGACCGAGAGCAGGGTGTGAATTACAGTGATTACACGTTAAAAACGTGGATTCATTAATGAAACACCGCTGTGTGTTGATCAAAGATGCACAACAGTTCTCCTAGGGCTTTATTTTCATTAGTGAAATTACTGACAATGTGTCTAAAATGTAATTAATCACACCTTTACCTTATCTTAATTTTTATGTAAAAACTGTTATGTAACCTAATTTTGTATTTCTACCAGCCAATGATGATTCTAAAAGAAAACACGCAGTGTTTGTTATAGTAGCCTAACACATGCAGCTTTCACGCGCATCTGACAGAACCGCTGTATTGCTGTTAATGGTTATTTTAGCAAATAGCTTGCTCCGTAAATTCAGTTCAACAGCATTAATTTGAAGAGGGTAAACTTTATCACTCGACTGAATCTGCACATGCATTTTAGGTGTTCTAGTTCTGTCCAAGCAATAAATGCACGTCTTTGAATGAGCGCTGTAGCGTATTCTCCAACCACTCAGGTAATGTCAATACGACCCATTTCAGGGGCTGCCAAAATGATATTTAAAAATTAGCCAGGGCTATAGAAATGCATATTAATATTTACAAGTAAATCTCCATATTACGCGTATTAATATTTACAAGTAAATCTCCATATTACGTGTAGGCTAGCCGTCTTTCTATCTGACCCCCCCTACATCTAGTTTTGACGTCCATCAGGGGGGATCAAGCCATCTTTAGGGGGGTCAGACCCCCCCAAACCCCCCCGTAATTCGCACCCTGACAGAGAGCCATTCTGGATAGACGGTTACCTTCTTTGCGCATTCCAACTCTGAAACACTTCTTTAAACGGCAGTATTGACACTGATTGCGGTGATGTTGGTCAATCTGGCAGTCTCTGTTTGATCTGAAAGACACCAAAAAATGGCTTAATGAACATGCCGAGAACATCAACTAACACGTACAGCAAGCACATACATAAACATTGCTGACATTCCCTCCGTTACCTGCAGGTATAGTTAAGGTTTCGTCGGACACTCCGTTTGAAGAAGCTCTTGCAGCCCTCACAAGTAAACACACCATAGTGTTTCCCACTGGACTTGTCACCGCAGACCACACAGTCCACCACACAACCTTTATCATCCTCCCCAGCCTCCATGTCGCTGCCGCCTCCTTGGGGTGACCTGTCGTCCTCATCTCCCCTCACGTACCCCTTGTCACCAAGTCCATTAGTCTCCCCATTGGGATCTCCCCACCCCCCTCTCACCATGGCCATCACTTAGTTCTCAGCACAAAAATACTCCCAAATGTGCTGTTGGTAAAAACAGTTTCAACTGACTACCCTTTTTTTGACAGCTGTGTGTTCTAAAATGAGAAGATATGAAGGCGTCTATATCCTGTAATTGTCTGCAGCTTCATCTGACACATTTAGGCCCTGAGTCACTTGTCTGAGTCAGTCAACTTTGATCTTCAGAAAGTGGGCTGTGCATGTTGTTTTGCCTCCTTGACGGACCATATTCACTTTTTACTCCTGCTTCTTTAGTCACACCTCGATTTAAGTGTCGTTTAGATGTCAGCTTCCAATCCAGCACCTGTGAAAGAAAAAAAAGTTACTCAAAACCAAAGAATGGTTCTACGCTAGTTATCAAGCATTAGACACAGTTCAGCGTTTCCTCACTTTCTGACCACAGGATTAGTCTTTAGTGATTCCTGAATTATTTCAATGTAAAGAGCACTAAAAAAGCAACTTCTAGCCTGATAAGCATTTAGTAAGTAATGGAGCATAGATAATAACATATGTCATCTACAGAAATTTCCATGACTTTTTCTGGCATGGATAATTATTTTACTAAAATGGCAAGTTTTTCTCTACATACATAATTATTAATATATTTTACATTATTGTTCAGATCATTTCACTGGAGCCTAGTAGCCAGAGATTACCAAAGAATTTAACTAAAATGTCTATCCTTTCAAAATTCCTTGGCAAGATCCAGTTATGAAGATCAAAACAGAAACACACACACTCAACACTAATATTTCAATAGATAAACGTCTTAAAGCATACCATAACAAGCAATAATCACATACTAATCAAAACATCTCCGTATAAAAAAGCCGCTTCTTCCTACAGTAGCGTTACACTGATTGTTCGAGAAAGTGCTGCGCTTGTTTGTTGTGAAATGAGGGCAGAGTTTTGGAGTCCCTGTAACAGTTACCGTGGCGCTGACTGAAAACGGATAAACGGGTGAAACCATAACGTAAGCTCGTGCTAATGGTTTCGCCGTGATCCAGAGATAAATGCCCCCTTTCTTATTTTTTTTATGAGAGCCAGTAACAGACATGCGGCCTAACCTCCAGCTATCTTCAAGCAGGGGGAGGGGTGGAGCCATAGCTTTAGCGACATACCTCACTCCTGACTTCGGCGAACACTGTATATATTTTCGCTTACCTTTGACGCCCCGAATGATAAGCTATCATACCGATAACAGCGGCGAACTCCGGGGAATATTTCAATATTCCTACCTGCTTTTCGAAGTGCAAAAGTCGCGCTGGCTTGAAGAGGACAAGAGATAACGCCAGTGTCCAGTAGAGTGCGCGCGCCGCGTGCCTGCCTGTGTGTGTGTGTGTGTGTGTGTGTGAGAGAGAGAGAGAGAGAGAGAGAGAGAGAGAGAGAGAGAGAGAGAGAGGAGAAGAGAGTGTGTCTGTGTAGGGGGGCTCGGAGGGATTTGACACAGCTATTCAAGCCCACGGTTGCCATGGTATCTCATGCCTTATATGGGCAAAGAAGTCAAAGAGCAGCTCTGCTGGGCACACAAAAAGAGAATGTGGTGTTTTGCTCCTGAGAGATCAGCGACCTCAGGCCTGCTTCAAAGGACTGCAAATATGCCAACAGGACGCCAAAACAGTAAATAAATACCATAAGAGAACATTTAGTTTGGAGCCATGCACAGGCTAGATATATAATGTTCTATAATATTATTAATAGCTTTAATGATTTTAAATCGGACAAAACATTTATAAAGGAAGTATTTAAATTAGCTAGTATCATTATTAGTTTTTTTAATTAATAGTCAGTCATACTAGTAGTATGATTGGCATCTTTTTAATTTTAAGTAATGATTTATTAAATGCTAGGCTAATACTTATTCCAGTATTTACTAATATATTTTCCCGCTTTACTAGTGTTTATATATTAGATACTGTTTATGTATAAGAGGCTATATAATATCTTTCCCAGTTAACAGTAACATTTCTTATCTCACTAGTTACAATTGCCTTTTCAGTAATGACTCAAAATGGTTACATTATACTTCAATTAAAAGTTTTACCAGTAATATTAAAAATGCTACAGCAGTTTCTAATAAAGGGTACTAATTTAGAGAAAATAGGATTAGAAAATAGTAGTACCTAAATGAATACAGATACCAGTAAAGGCAGCTAAAATGCGTATAAATAGTACGCCAAATAAAAACGAAAACTCGTGGTACTGATACGCAAAAAATTTACTTTGGCGTGCATATGATACGCAGTTTTCGCGTGCATATGATACCCATCTACCCCACAACCCTAAACCTACCCATCGCGTAGCATATGCACGCCAAAGTCCATTTTTGCTTATCAATACCACGAGTTTTCGTTTTTATTTGGCGTACTATTTATACGCACTTTCATGAGATCGGGTTGACCAGCAACAACTGGAATACTGTTAAACCTTGAAATGGATATACAGTGGGTACGGAAAGTATTCAGACCCCCTTAAATTTTTCACTCTTTGTTATACTGCAGCCATTTGCTAAAATCATTTAAGTTAATTTTTTTTCCTCATTAATGTACACACAGCACCCCATATTGACAGAAAAACACAGAATTGTTGATAGTTGGAACTTGGAAGTGACTAGTTGATATCTGAACTACAGATCCCAAATGGAATTCAAAATATGTGCCATTTGTTTTCAGTTACAATGGATTAGATACTTGCCACTGAGTACTAGTTTGTTCTGAAGTAACAGTAAAACTGATACTTGTCACTACCAGATGACTTGCTAGTATATAAAAAATACTGTTAATGTAAAAAACAAAACAAAAAAAAGACATTAGTTTTAAGGAATACACATTAAAACGCTTGAAGATGCTTTATGATCAAAGTGATTAAAGTAGAAATCCTGTTAATGGCAGTTATCAGGTTTCAGTAATAACCTGAGAGTGTATCTACAGGTCAGCTAAAGCTTAAATTTAGTCCGATTTACGTAGCAAGAGGTCAGAGAGTAGGAAAGGCATAATTTTGTGTAATAATAATTTTGTGTAATATTTTGCACAATTATCAAACAATGCAGGTGAGCTTTACAAGGTCTCAGGTTGAGCCAAAGATTTTGGTTCAGCTCTGTTTTCAGTATAAAGAGGAATGTACAGTTTCTTTAATTTAAATTTTTATTACTTTCAAACAATGAGAAAGCCATCCAGGCTGTACATCTTGTTGTAGATCCAGGAGACAGCTGTCTCTTGTTTTGAGATTTAGATCTTGGCCACTAGTTCACATAATTATTCAAAGGTCACACTCCAGAGAAAAACATTTCATTTGCTGCCCCAACTCAACCTCTGCTTCCTTCTCAACTGTTTCTGTGAATTCATATTCTTAGAAACAAAAACATACCCTGGTTACTCAATGAAACCAGCAGCAAACTGATTTGGCATCATCAATTTATATAAACTCTTTATCAAGATTTGGTCAAATACGGTGTTTGTGTGAGCATGGGTGCGAGAGAGTGCACACAAAAGAAAAGAGTCTGAGAGTGCATGCTTGAGTTATGTGCATTGTACAAGCTGGGAGTTTATTTGGCCTTTGACCCCAGGGTTCAGGAATGTGATTGATCTCTTTTAGGATACAGGGTAGCATTGCAGCTCTTACTTATGCTGATTTTACTGAGCCCTGGAGACTTTTCATAAAACATTGTTTTTATTATGCAATAAAATATTAGTATATTAGATATTTTATGAAATATTTCATATTGCTTTATTATTTAATTTTATTTAGCAATAAAATAAAAATATTTGTATTGTATTTTATTTTATTTCAATGTGCACATACATGTATGTTCAATGAAAAAAAAATGCTACAACAGTGTTATTCCAAGTGTTATTTGGAAATATCCCCATCTAGTGGTGAGATTCAGAGGCTACGTTCACAGGTCTTGAAGGTGAATTCTATAAATGAAAAGTGTAAACACTGACTGTGGCTCTACAAAAACATTGCTCTGTTTGAGTCCAGCTAACGAGGAACATTCAAATGAAATGTTCAAACAAACAAATAAATTTACAACATTTAGAGAGAACATTCAGAAATAACATTTTCATAACTTAATGGCAACGTTAGCAAATTGTTATTAGAACATTATTTTTATTAGCTGCCTGGTAGCATCCAAAGGAGGTCAACTATACCTGTGGAGAACTAATAGCATCTCAATGGCAGTTTAGTTTAGGTAGCTTACTATCAAACCATATATCATCTATAATTCCTGATGCCATCCAACTAAAATATTTTACTCTACTGAATTAAAATTTGATTGCTGTGTCACTCCTTAATTATTTTTTTCTATAGATAATCTGGAATCACAGGCTATATAACTTTTAAATTATTTTTAATTACTTTCTTTTTATACCTCTCGTTGTTATGTAAAGTATCATCAGTGCAATTACATAACACAAGCACAAACGTTTTAACGTTAATAAGGTGATGTGAGATTTGGAAACATTTGAAACAACAGTGTGTGAGTGAATCTTGTTAGATGATGATAATTTTAACGTCAGGCGTATTTTAGAAACGGATAAACAGGACGATTAATTCTTGATAATGTCAGCAGATGTGTATACATCTGTGTTTATTACTGATTTCCTTCATTTGTTCAGTAGTTTACCTAAGAAGTGTCCAGACAGTGCCTTCTACGTTTGTCACTTTGAGACACAGCTATGAATTACTGCTTCCTCTTGGAATCGAGGTGGCACATCAACAGTTCCTGGCAGGAAAGCCACATGCTTTCATAATATTCTTATCCTCTGGCTCATAAGATATATATAAGACATCAGGAAAAAACACGATGTTTAGACACATATGGCTCAACAACTACAGCATATTATATAAAAGCACAAAGTTATGGTTAGTAACTTAATTGCAATATGTTTAAACTAAAACTGGCCATGGAGTGAAATGCTTTGGTCAAAGACAATGTTTTAGTAAGGCACAATATACAAACCACATCCTCATCCTACCTATGTCAGGAAGAATTTTAGACAGCATGTACAAATGTGTTGTAAATTTCTTCAGTCAATCAGAAGAATTTTAGAGCATCTGTTACGTAATACCAATATAAACTCTAATAAACAAAATTGTAGAATGTCATATAATAGATTCAAGTCATCTCTGAATATCTGTTCAAAACAGCACGTAGTCAAACCGTCAACCATGTGCTTTCTCCAGTGCCAACATGCTGTCAAGCAAAAGGATCTGTTTTGGCAGGACATGCATATTGGAACAATGTACTGTCTGGGTTTGGGCCACCCCCTGGTCAGTGCGTGATGTTGTTCTAACCTCTGAAATCATGATCGTAGGGTGGACCAGGGAAGCGTCATCCAATGGGAGGTGCAAAAAAACAATATAAGCTGGCGGCATTAACATATTTAACTTTTTATTTTGCCTTTGATGTTTTAGAAGAACATTTTTGCATAGTGAAGGAGCTGGGGCTTTATTGATAAGGCCACATTTGAGCAGTAATGTACAACAGTAGTTACTCTCAGGCCAACTTTGGCTTGGCTGCTAAGAAGATGCATAAATCGAAAGGCAAGAGCTGTGGTTACTACATGAAGATTGTCTTCTTTTTCTCCTCACTCATCCAGTCTCTGATCATTGCGAGTCTGGTGCTCTTTCTGGTGTACGGACAGCCCGAGCACACGGTGGAGGAAAAGAGGTTGCAAGAGTTGGACCAAAGTGTAAGCAAACTCACGATGGAAAATTTCATTCTCCATGGGAAGGAAAAGAACCTCACCAAAGTTCTGAACGTCACTCTCACTGCAAAGCTGAGCAATGACAAAGCTCTGGCTGAATTATGCAGACTGGCGAACACCTCATCTATGGCAATAAGGAGCATGCAAGCAATGATGGTGAGATTTGGAGCAAACTCTAAATGTTTTCAAATAATTAATTTGTTGTAGATAACATTATGTTTCATACAAAAGAGAATACTCTGGTGTTTTAAAATGGTAATTAATTAATTAATTAATTGCATGGTGTATGGTGTTCTAAGAATGTTTTCTTAACATTCCCATTAGGCTATGAAACAGTAATTTCCAAAAGTTTTGTCAACGTTTTCAAAATGTCCTTTCTTTTTTTTAAATGTAAGAGCTTTTCCTTGGTAATATGAACGTTCTGAAAAACACTGGCTTTTAAACTTTTAAACGTCAATGAATTTTGCGGATAGAGATTTAGAGCATTAAAATGCATAACTTCAATCTCAATGAACATTTTTTTTGTGCTTTTTTTTACAGTATCGATGTGAGATGGAAAAAAGAATGGCTGCACCTTGCGCATGCCCCACTACGTTCTGTCCAGATCCAAATGGTGAGATGGTTCTTTAGAAA